TATATATATATTTTTTTTCTTTTTTACGCACACACACATCGTTTCAATTCATACTTGCACGAACAAGTATGCGTCGGCTCGTGTGCATGCACGAGACTGGGAATTCATTCGGTGCAAGATGTTTGGCTGCTCGTATCAGCGCCTTTGCAAGGCCTCACAGCTTCAGCGTCCTGTTCCGGCCGTCGCTGCCAATCTCCACCTTCGCGCGCTAAACCCACACATTGCTGAGGTGGCCGAGTTCTTGAAACGTTGCGGCGTGCGTTGCGGCGCATTGCTGTGCCCGTGAGGACGCGCACGACTTTGCTGTGCTCTTTCCCAGCTGCTCCGTTGCGAGAAAGGCACTACCGAAATCGGATAGCCAGGGCAGCAAACAGTCCAGCGCAGTCATCACAGGTGGAATCCTCCGCGGCCTCAGTCAGCTCTTTCGGCTTCGGGGGCACAAACGGGTGTGTGGTGCTGAGACTAGCGGAGAAGGCTGGAAGTAAGAGTTCATGTTGGGAAGCACGAGTCGGATAGCACAGATTTCGAGACGAGATGGTGAAGCTGCAGCAGGCACGGGGATGTCGACCGTTGGGCATCGACTTGGGCAGGGGCCCAAGATGTCCGCACGGACAACGCGAGCGCTTGCGGAGTTCTCAGGCCGTGAGCGCTTTGAGTGGCGGGAGCCCAGCCACCCGCTGATCTGCAAGAAGGCAAAGCGAGAGGATGGGGTGCACGTCCTGAGCTGCCCGGGCCCCGGGCCCCAACCGGTCGAAACCGGTGCTAAGTGCGCTGCTGCGGCCAAGCAGGTCCCATTGATGGCCACGTACTGGAACTCCTGTCACACCACATCGTGCATGGTGAGGCAGTCCGACGACAGAGTGTGAGACTGAGCCGAACTCGCCGAGCTCCTTTCAACCAGAGGTGGTGGTGCCCGGTGCATGCTACTTGGAGATGATCCTTGCCGGCGTGAGGGCGCACCTCGGACAGCAGGCGGGGCGGGAACGGCGGGAACGGCAAGCGGGCTTCCTTGAGTGCGTGTCGTGTTGACGGCAGGAAGCCTGGTGCATCGAGAGCCTGGGCTTTGCCAAGCCTCTGGTTCTCCGTCTCTCGCAGTCGGGGAAGCTGGAGGCGACTGAATCTCCGTCCCCGGCTTGGTGTGGTGCTCATGCTGCTGAAAAAGGAGCCAGTGGAGCTGCGGCTCCTCATTTGGGAGGACGGGCGCCTGGAGGTGGAGCAAAAGGCTTCAAAGAGGCCACAGCCTCCGAATCTCCCAGTTTCGGCAGGTGGAGAGCGCGGTCGGGGAGGACCCCGAGGACCACATCGTGTCCACCCACGTTGAGGCTGCCTAGGGCCCGAAAGCGGGGAAGGGGGGGGGGGGTGGGCGGTCAGAAGGTGCTGAAGCTTTGGCGGGCAGGCGAGCCTCATCCGGCAAGCAGGCGGATGGCAGCGTGCGGAGGAGGACAAGCACGACCTGGCACAGCTCAGGCGGAGCTGCCCGGAGGAGGCCTGGCTGAGACACAGTGATATCTACCTTCACCAAGGTCCAAGTTGAACCGACTGTCTTGACGTTTGGCAGGTGGACGTGGACCTCATGTACTCTTTTGGCGTGAAGAGTGGCCTCCCGCTCCAGCGGCGCTTCCGGTGCGTCCGACAGGCGGGGCGGCGCAATCATGCCGATTGAGGTTTGCATGTTAGATCCCAATAATTCATTAACGTGCCCTGCCTGAGAGGAAAGGTATGGATTCTTGGTGGAACGAGAGAGGGATAGAGAGTCGGACAACAGCCCCCTATACCCCCAGAGGAAGAAGAGAGACAGAGCGAGAGAGAGACGCAAGAGCTTCGGAGTCGTGATAAGCGTCGGATCGACCTAAGTGACCGAAGGACATGGATGAGTACGTGCACGCGTTGGGGAAAGTACTCGCAGCACCAACATCACCAAGGGTTATCACTCCACATGCGCCGGTGAGCGGAGAGCACCACTTCTTGCCATTAGGCCCTGGTGGTGAGTATTGCGAGGTGCAAGTCCAGAAGAGCGAGCGGAAAGGCTTCGCGCGGCTGGAGATGGAAAGGGACGGTGCGCAGCGAGATGCCTTGAGCCTTTGATCGTGGCAGTTTGTCGCGCGAGGTACGGAGCTTGGCTTCCTGCTTGGGCCGTCGCTCATTGATAGCTCCTTCCAAGCTCTGATGGCTCTGGCGGACCCTGCTGTGGGCATCGGCTCCCTGAAGATCCCACTGTCCATCAAGAGGCGACAGCAGTGCCAAGCGGCTAAGCACTGTGAACTGGAAGTGGGATGCGAGAGCTTTGCGTGAGGCTTCAGCCCATGGGTCGGGGATACTCCATTGGAGTCTGGTCGCACTTCGAGCTTTTGGACTGGACGGAGCGCTCCACGGCCTTCAGGCCGCCTGGATAAATCCCAAGACAGGGAGAGATCGGTGCCTCGTTGCTCAGGTGCTGGCTTCTGAATGATGCGGGGGAGACGCTCTTGTTCTTCGACTCCGTGCATTTGCAGGAAGTCCGCGATGAGCACCTTCAGAAGGCACTCCGGAGCTGGGGGATGCGTCAAGCGCAGATCTGTGATTTCGCATGGCCAATCCCTTGCAGGTTCTGCAAGCCTCTGGGCGCCTCGGCGCAGAGCAGCAAGCCTTGTACAGCACGCTCTGGCGGCCGCTGCCCGAGCTCGCGGAGGCCCCGGGTTCCGTGTGGGGGTTCCATGTGGGGGGGGCCCTGCGGCAATGCCAACATCGGAGGCATCGGAGGCATCGGCCTCCCGATCAAAATGGCTTGTCCTTGGGCGACAGGAAGATCTCAGGCCTTTGGCCACGGGCGGCCCGTCCCAGATGTTGTGTTTTGGGCGCTGGAGGAAGTCGGCCATGGAAGAGTTCCGCTGCATCGCAGCGGAGGAGACTGGCAACTTCCAAGATGAGGCGGCAGGTTCCCAAGTTCCAGTGCAGTCGCAGTCGCAGTCGCAGCAGTGAATAGTCTGTGGCAGTGCCGTTTACTGCGCTCTCTGCGAGCCTGCCAGCTTCAGGCTTTGAAGGAGCTCTTCCGCAGCTTCGAAGCACAGGCGCTCATCTTCGTGGGGGGCCTCGGCGATGACTCGCATCGAACATCCGTGAAATGCCACGGCACGGACGATGTGGACGTGCTCGTCTTGGCGCTCCATGTGCTCCGCTGCTTGGTCGAAGGGGGTTAGGGCCAGGGCACTCCGCTGACCACAGACCGTTCCCCCATGCGGTGCGAGGTGCCGCGCTGTTGGCTGGTCTGCCCCTGGTGTTTCTGACGAAAGAGACACAGCAGGTTTTGCGCCCCGAGGTGCCTTAGAATCGAACAGAGCACATGTAGCAAGAGCAAGGCGAGAGCGTTGTGAGAAGGACCAGCCGGAGCCGATTCATGCAGGGCTCTGGGGCTTTGCACGCACTGCGCGGCTGGAGGACGGCATTTCTGTAACCGACCCTGACGGGTTGAAAAGAAGTTTTATCATCTCCGAACTCACAAACAGCCGCCAACACCACCGTATTATGAACAAGCTACAGGCAGCTTTGACTTCCATTCACCTGGAATTGCATCTATTGCATCTAAAGATCAGAACGTGCTGCACTTTTTGCGGTGACAGCAATGACAAGCAAGGAGCCGTATGGCCAAGTTTGGCTAAATCGCCCATCGCCAACGGCAGGAACCGGAGAGACTGCGCCTGGCTTGCGTGGATCTGGACTCTTCCAAGCCTCTGGAAGCCGTAGAAGCCGCGCTCACACAGCTGCCACCGACCCGGAGTCATGAGTCGCAGACCCCGCATAAACTCTGTGGAACAAACCCCGAGGTCCCAATCAGACTCGCGTGAGGAGGAGACCGGAAGACAGGCTGTACATGGCTCTGCGTCAGAGCTTGACCTTCCCAGGAGCTGTCCTGGCACAACGGAGAGGCCTCGGCGCAAACCTTCAAAAGAGCTCTCGAGCGCCTTTCTCCAAACTCGCAGGTGCTTGGCCGGCGCTTGACGCGAAGTGAGCTAAAAGCCCAGACGCCCATGCGCCTGAACATGCCAGCGCGGGGAGCCTTGCAGGGCCCCAAGACAGCGCAGACCGCACTTTTCACGGCTCGGCGCTCGGGTTCGAAGCACAGAACTCACAGAACGAGGACTGGTCTGCGCGGTGTGCCGCAAATGCGGCAGCCTCTGGTTCTGGGCTCCGTGCAGCTCCGTATCCGAGCCGTAGGCCCGAGACCCAGCCCAGCCCAAGCTGTAGCGAGTTTCTGTGCTGCGGGGGCCGAGGCCTCAACTTTCGGGACGTCCTCAATGCCGGGCCCTCACTCCCAGAGGCCCCTGCAGAGGCCCCCTGCAGGAGAGCCCACGCAGGCCTTGCTTTGGGAGCGGCACACAGGGCAGCGAAGCCCCACAGGCAAGCTTTCGAGGACAGACACGCTGTGACGCTGACTTCAGGGCTCGTATACCACCACAGCACAACCAGCACACTGCCCCACAGGACGGTGGTGTTAGCGGGCATGAGGCTTTACTTTGCACTTCATAAACCGCGGGCCATGTCGCAGTGGTTGAGGTGGTTGTGGTTGGGTTGTGGTGGTTGTTGTTGTTGATCTTGTTGTTGGTGTTGGGGCACGTGTCGCAAGCTAAGACCTTCCGACTATCCGCTTCGCTTCGCGAGCTCTGCATCTGGGCCGGGCTCTGCTGAGGTCATGGGATTGTATCCCGGCGATCCCGGTCCGCCGGGAGCAGACATGGCGGGCACCGTGCTGGACCTTGCAGAGCACACGGGAGATCATCTTAGGCGTCTCTGTCTCTCTCTCTCTCTCTCTCTCTCTCTCTCTCTCTCTCTCTCTTGTCTCTCTCCCTCTCTCTCTCGCTCTCTTTCTGTCTCGCTCTCTCTCTCTCACTCTCTTTCTCTCTCTGTCTCTTGCTATCTCTGTCGCCCACTTCGGGGAGGCTGGCGGAGGACGTCTTCGGCGAGGCACCGGGATGCCTCAGCAGCTACTGCCTGGCGCCAGCGCTGCGTACCAAGAGCCTCCAAGAAGCTTCTGCCAGCCACCCAACCGCCGACACTCCCAAGGCCGCTCATAGCGCCGAAACCTTCCAGCTGGTCCTTTGAAGAGGCCCGGCCTTTCTATTTGACTTCGAGCTGCCTCTGAAGCTTCGCCGCCGTTCTTTGAGAAGTCGCGACAGAAAGCAACCAAACCGGGGCCCCCCAGCTGACATGGCTGGCCTTGCTGGCCTGACGCGCGTGAACACATCTCTCACACCGATAGAGGCCTTTGAGAGACACCTGCCTCCAAAAGCTGGGTCTGGGCGGGACTGCCGGAGTGCCCGGTGGGGTAGAGGGCTTCTCGGGTTCAAAACTGCAAGCGCGGCGGGCCTTGCCTGCCCGACTGCCCGAGCGCGGCAGAGCCTTACCAGAGAAAGTGTGAAGGTGAACAACGAGTCACAAGTAGGACTACTGTTCATTCTCCTCAAGTTTCGAAAGAGGCCTGCACCATGCCGGTCATCTTCGTGACTGTGGAGGAAGCTTTGGGAGATTTGGCACAGCTGAAGCGCGGTGAGAGGGCGCGGCACCCGAGCACCCTTCGCGTTGAAGACCCACAGCAGTGCAGTCAGTAGGAGGAGACGATGGAGACACTCTGCGCTAGCAAGGTCTTGATCCATGCTGCAGCAGGGGGTGTGGGCCTGGTGGCGATTCAGTACGCGCAGCACGTTGGGGCAGAGGTCTACGCGACGGCTGGTGCCGAGGTGGAACGAAAAGGCTTGCAGAGTCTCAATTTTTCGCAGGTTGGGGGCTGACTTGCAGGAGAAGCACATGTACCTTCGCAGCCTCGGGGTGAAGCACATCACAAGCAGCCGCAACGGAGCGCGCTTCGAGGAAGAGATGCGATCCTTCCTAGAGAAGGAGAGCCTGGAATCGGCGAGCCGAAAGCAAACCGTCCCTCAAACCCTTGCAAAGAGGATGCAAAAATAAAGGTGCCTTAGTTCTGATCCTTTTTTTCTCAGAGGACGGGCTGGAAGGAGTCGACGTGGTGCTCAACAGCCTCAGTCCTTGCCTCAATAGTAGAAGTGCATGCTTATTCGTCCCTGGACATGTGCGACACTGCCTTGGGCGATGAGACTGGAGATTGGGCGAGGCCACGATGACTACATCCCACGGTCTTTGGCGTTTCTGCGCAGCGGCGGCCGCTTTCTCGAGATCGGCAAGAGAGGCATCTGGTCCCACCAGCACAGCCCTCAGAGTCTCAGAGCAGAGACTTGGCGAAGCCTTGAACGCGAAATTGTGCCGCGCTTTGCTCAGGCAGATGCGGGAGAGCCGCCCGGACGTGATGTACGAAAAGATTGCCGCGGACACGATGATGGAACGAGAGCCCTGGAGGCAGGGAGAGTGGGATGCGCCCTCGGCAAGCTCAGTACGCTGCCGAGTTCTGAAAGAAACAGGATAGCCTACAGGCCTGCAGGCTTGGATGGCAATCTCGGGGCTAGGGCCGCTAGGGCCGCTAGGACCACGAGGGTCAGCGCAGATTCGCTCAGGTTGGTACACCGTCACTCATGCAAACGCAGAGCGTTGAATGCGCAAGTGGTTTCGCATGCAGCGGCATGCAAGCCTGTACATAAGTATTCGTGCAGTGATACTTGTACGGCCGCGTGTTGATTCATGCACGCCATCGCACACGGTCTTTTCAGTAACAGGAGGCGGGAGACGGTTTGCAAGAATGAACCGTAGAGCGGCGAAGCGGAGGGCTCCCAGCCCTGGAAAGGTACAATGCCTACCTGAAGCGCCTGAAAGACCGCGTAGATTCTGGGGCGCTGAAGCCCATCCACATGCACATCTTCGAGGGTCTGGAGGAAGGCAGCCTGCAGTGCTCGCAGCAGGGGAGGGTTCCAGCTGGGCCCGCTAGGTGTGCGTGCACTCCAGTTTCTCCAGCGAGCACAGAACATCGGAAAAGTGGTCATCTCCCAGCTCGGAGCTCGGTCCTTCCTCTTTGGCTCATCGTTGCGAGCTGAGCTCAGGCCGAGTAAGCTTAGCAAGCTCCCAGCCGGAACCCATGTCCTCTCGGGCGGTACGGGTGCCTTGGGAGTGGCCGGGGCCTCGCTTTTGTTCGTCTCCCCTTGCGCCATGCCAGAGACGTTGAGGTGACAGCCCAGTTCCTTGCGGAGGAGGGGGCCAAGTCTCTTTGTCTCCTTTCACGGGCTGGGCGTCCGCCAGATGAGGTGCGCAACTCATGACCATGTGCCGCCGTGAGATGCCGTGAGTCGGAATTGTCGCAGAGTCGCAGGTGCAGGCTCGGTGGAACTGGCTGCAGGCGCTTGGGTCGCTTGCGTCAGACTGTGCGCTTTCCCACGTTGCCCTCCCAAGCGGAGGCGAGCACGCTTCAGCTCCAAGTTCTTCGCTGCGACGTCTCCGAGGAGAGCTCATGCCCGCTTTCGGTCCAGGTCTTCCCGAGTCTTCCCACTTCCACTCGCTCCTCTCCACTCCTCGCTCCGAGGAGGCTTCCGTGCGCTCAGCCGAAGTCTGCCAAGGCAGCGTCAGACGTTTTGCCAGACTGTCATGGTGGAGCTTTGAAGCAATTAGCGTGTGCTCCACTGTTGCCTACGCAGAACAGCGAACTCGCGACTAAGGGCCAGTGCTTGTTGATAGTAGTTTTTTCACGTACGTGCAAAAAGTAATTCTCAATTATCAACGTGATCCTCGTGGTGGAGGGGGCGGAGTGTGTGAAGATCCTTTTCGCACAAGACGCCCAAATTTGAAGGGGAGGGGGGGATCCCTGTGGGAACCTCTGACCGCTTCGGCCGGGGCCGAGGGCGAATGAACCGAATTTTTTCCACGTACATAAAAAAAGCTATTGTCTACATGCGCCTCGTGGTGGAGCTTTGAAGTAGTTAGAGCAGTCTCTGCTTTGCAGTCGCGGCGTGAGAAGGTTGTGAATCTCCCCCTCTGCTTGCAAAGAACCTCAAACTCGCGACTAACGGCCAGTGCTTGTTGATAACTGCTTTATTCGCGTATGTCAAAAAGCAACTATCAGCATGCGCCTCGTGGTGGAGCTTTGAAGTAATTAGCGCGGGCTCCGCTTTGCAGTCGCGGTGTGGGAAAGGTGCAACTGCCAACTCGCGACAAGGGCCAGTGCTTGTTGTTTCCGTGCTGGTTTCCCCCGTTGGCCCGTTGGCAGTTGTAAGACAATGGACAGGGTATTTGGCGACTTCATGCCAGCCTCGGGCCAGAAGGGATTCCATCGTAGCATAGGCTCGTAAGATCTCTCTTGTCACCGCTGTTCTTGAAGAGATGGGGGTGGCGTCAGCAAAAAGCGCCATTGGGCTCCCTGCCGAGGTCGTCGTGTCGTTTCCCTCTTTCACTTGGCTGGAGCGCTGGCCGATGCCATGCTGCCTGCACTCGACCGCGAACTCTTCCAGAAGCCTGAAACCCAAGCAGACAGCATGTACAGACAGAGCTTTCGAAATCGACGGATGGGCAACTGAGAGACGGAGCGTTAGAGCCTTGGTTTCCCATTAGCTTGCGGAAAATGAGGTCCTACGGTGCCAAAGTCCACGGTCTGCGCCACCTTCTGCGCTTTTTCCCTGGGGCCACTTCCTTGGGTTCCTTGAGTAGCGCCTCTGTCTGGAGCTGCGCTGCCCTCAGGACGTTCCTCTGACCGTGCTCTTCTCTTCGACGAGTTCGCTCTTTGGCGCTCCAGGCCTCCAGCTGGGACGGTCTCTCTCCCTCTCGCTCTCTCTGCTACATCTGCCACGGCCATCTGCCACGGAGGTCAAGGCAACTATGCCGCGGCCAACAGCACGCTCGATGCCTTTGCCGCCTTTGCAGACCGAGACGGCCAAGGCGACGGCGACGGCGCGCCCACGTTCTCGTCGCAGAATCCTTCAAGTCTGGGTCGAGCCTTCGCTGCAGGCGCCGTGTCTGTGCAGTGGGGGCCTTGGGCTCGGGCCTCGGAGAAACGCCCTGCAGCGCTGTGTCCCATACAGCGGCATAGTTTTTGACAGGCCGAAGTGGGCATGGCAGTGCAAAAGGGCACCGTGCAGAGGGCCAAGGCTAGTGGAATTGGCTCGCTCAGCAACCCCCAAGGCCTCCTGCTCGGTGGCGAAGAGCACTTTGCTTGGCATTGAGCTCCTTGGAACAGGTATGGCCATTCTGGCTAGTGTCCTTTGCCAAATTGCCTGGAGCTCGAAGCCTCGCATCGCCTCGCATCGCCTCGCTCGGCTGCTCGCGCATGCATTCGAGGGCGAGCCGCGTCACTGCCTGGTGGGCGCAGCTCATGTCCGTTGGCCCAAGTTCCTGCGCAGCGTCTTCGCCGGCAGCCCCGGGAAGGAAAGGAAAAAAGGAGGGAAAGGAGGGAAGGAGCCAAGTCTTCTGCGGCCCAGGCCGGAGGAGCGCCGCCAGCTTCCTTGCTGGACCTGGCCGCAGAGGCCGCCAAGAGCACCGAAAGCGCCGATGCAGGCCAGGGCCGCGGGCCATAGAGCTGCCGAGGCTCGCACACGTGCAAGGCGTTTCTTTCCGCAGGATCGGGCATCTCCGCCGAGCTGGCGGCCCTTGGACCGGAGGAGAGGTTGCAGCGCTTGGAGGCTCTGGTGCAGCGCTTGGCCAGCGACGCTTGGCGGATAGTCAGAGGAGCAGAAGGCGTGAGTTCAGGCTCCTGTGTCGCCGCCAAGGATGTGGTGGGCGAAGAGATGTCAGGAGACGTGGAGCTCCTGGAGCCACTCTGTTTGCAAGTCTGCAAGGCTCTGCTGCATCGGAAGGGGGCATCTCAGTCAGGTCCGGTATGGACTCTTTGTCTGGCGTGGAGTTCCGAAATAGGCTTCAGCAAGAGTGCTGGCCTTAGGCCCTCAGGCTCTTGCGAATACAAAGCCCATGAGATCTTTGGTTTTTGTTCAGGCTCGGTGGCATCCGACTGCCAAACTCTGCCGTCTTCGACTTCCCCACGGCCTGGCCAGCCTTTCTCTGCTGCATGCAATCCAGCAAGCTATCCAGATCTGCAATGTGCGAGGCGAACATGCTTGCAGGCTTCATCGCTGGCCAGTTTTCGACGGGCCCGATGTCCGACCAGGTATCCCATTTTGCCATTTTGAGCATGTTCTTGCTGTTTGCATGCAGAGTCGGCCCGCAGGCAGCACCAGCCGCACCAGTCACTGGCGACTCAAAGATCTTGCAGCTCTTGAACAACAGGCCCTGCACAGCGGGCGGGGCGAGTTGCAAAAGTGATGGACGCTGTCCGAATCCCCCGTGTGACCAGGACGGCGGGCCCGGGCCACCCTCCGCTTTTCCTGGTGCCTGGCGCTGGCCTGCAGGAGCGTCGAGTTTTTGGCGGGGCGCTTGGGGGCTTGGGGCTTTTGGGGTCTCTGCAGAGGCCGCGGGCTTCCAAGCCTTGGCCAGCTTGCTGCCTGTGCCAACCTGGAGCGTCTCCTGGCCCCAGAGCCTGCCCAGGGAGAGGTCCGGGATATGCCATGCAGTTGCACAGTGTTGCAGGCAGCCTTCTTTGCACGTTGTTGCACTCTTGAGTCGCCTGGGCTCTTGTCTTGTGATGCCTTGCTCTTCCATGGGAGTCTTTTAATCCTCAAAGCGCTGCCAGCATGGGCAGTCCACGCCCTTGGCAGCTCAGGAGACGGCCATGGCTGTTCTGCTGTGTCAGTCTTGCCCTCTGCGGCCTCCTTGGCAAGGCCCAAGGCTTCGTTGCCCAAGCGCTTGGCCCGAACCCGGGCTTTGCTAAGCTGGGCAGAAGAGAGACGGCCCTTAGAATCTCGGCGGAATCCGCAGAGGCGGCAGAGTCTGGTGCTGCTGGGGTCGCCTTGGCTGCGCCGGAGCGGTCCAGGTCGGTGCAGGTCTGGTCCGTGCTTGGCGTGGCTACCTACCTATCCTACGGCATCAAGAAGGTGGTGCCCATCGTCCACCAGGGCCTCGCCAGCATCACCACCCCCTGGCAGTGGCTCATGCTCGTGGCCACGTCCCTTGCCGTAAGCCGTATTTTTTTTTCCGTTCTGCCTTTTTTTTTCTCGCCCACCCCTCGCCTCAGATAACTTTGTTCCCTTCGGGATGCTTAGGCTGGGTTTCTTTGCCTACGTGGAGGGCTACAGGGGCTTCCAGAAGGGTTTCTGCCCGCGGGTCGTCAGCCGCGCCTGGGCCGTATCGGAGAAGTTCCCAGAGGTCTCAGCAAGGCGAGGCAGAAGCTCACGAGCGAGCGGAACGATGTAATTTGAGAAGCCAGGTTCGTATCATTCGCTGCAGGAGTGGAGGCGGTGCGAGGTCCCATGATTCGTCAGAAGGTTTCTGTTTATAGGACAGTAAACTCAGTAAAATTTGCCATGGGAAGCTCTTGCAGTCTGTGCAGATGTGCCCGCGCATGCATGTGGCTTTTTCAGCCGCGTAGGCCTTGTCGCAGTAATGCAGGGACTTGCTGAAGCGGTACGGCGCAGCCTACCTGGTCTCCTCAGTGTCTTTGTCCATAATCTCTTACACACTCTTCTACGAGCTTGTGAAGCGGGGCCTTGATGTTACTGGTGCTCTGGCGGCCATCGGCATCACCGTGGCAAACAGCAAGTACTACGGAGCAGCAGCCCTGGCTTATGCGCTGCACAAAGCGGCATCTCCCATCCGTTTTCCACCGACACTCCTCTTGACGCAATTTGCGGCTCGGATGATGGGGAAGGATGTATCTACAACGCAGAGAGCCACAGCCACTGTCTTTCACAAGCTCTTTGCCCCGGCATTCTGCATCGGCTATTTCCACGGAACTCGAAAGCGGGTTATCTCCAGCTGGTGTGTGACCACCGTCATCTTCTTTGTCGTTTTCTTCGTGCGTAAGCTGGCCAACCCGTACCGTGCCATCCTCGACGCCCCGCGCTTAGACTCGCTCAGATCCGAAACTCCAGCAGCTTCAGAGAAACTAGAAGACGAGTGGCCCGAANNGTCAAGTACATAAAGTCATAGAGTCAAGTACATACAGTTTGAGTACATAGCTCTAGTGCATAGAGTCATATTGTCACAGAGTCAAGTGCATAGAGTCATAAAGTACAAAGTCCAGTGCATAGAGCCAAGTAGATAGAGTCATATAGTCGAGTGCATAGATGCATAGAGTCTCTTTGCGCCGATGTACTTGAAAGGCGAAGAAGTTCAGGTTGGCAGGAGAAGAAGCAAGAAGCAAGCGAATTTTTTCCTGTGACGGCGTCGTTCGGCACACTTGCTCTTTCGGAAGACAGTGTCGAAGCAAGGCCTTGCTCTGCTAGTCGCACCCGTGACGATCGATCAACGGGTATGCCGGCAGGCGGTGCTGTCTCCACTCGCGAAAGCTGTGGTCGAAGCAACCTCAGAATGGCACTGAAATGTGCGCAGCTGCAGTGTTTGCAACGCAAGTGTCGGTACCCAGAGCCGTGGGCGATGAAGATGCAGCCGATGACACCTGTCACAGGCAGCGGCAGCGGCAGCGGCAGCGACCCCATGCAACTGCTTGACATTGTGGCTCGCAAGCTCGTCGCGGAGCCAGGCTTCGCCGCGCTCGGCAAAGTCATCTCGCAAGACCTTCAGCCGTTGCCGGGAGACCGCGGCCTCATCGTCCTGACAGAAACTCGACAAGAATGCCCCACATCTAACCGGGGCACGAAACATCATCCATGGCATCGATCCCCCACGATGCCTCCCTCCGGGCAATGCACCGCAACAGAGCGTCCAGCGACTCCTCTCTGGAAAGGTGGCGCCCGTCTGCTTTCCGCGGCACGCCCGCAGCGGCAGCGACAACATGCAACTGCTTCACATTGTGGCTCGCAGGCTCGTCGCGGAGCCAGGCTCGGCCGTGCTCGGCAAAGCCCTGTCGCAAGACATTCAGCTGTCGCTGCGACGCCATGCGCTTAAAAGGCAACGGCTCCACACTCGCCCTTTCGCAAGATAGCGTCGAGGCAGGCAAGCAACCGTTCTAAGTCGTGAAATTTTTGTTACACACTCGCCCTTTCGCAAGATAGCATCGAGGCAGGCAAACAACCGTTCTAAGTCGTCAAATGTTTGTTGCAACGTGTTTTTAACCGTTCTACTAAGTTGTGAAATGTTTGTTGCAACGTGCTTTCCCCATTCGAGCAAAGCCTGCGGGTCATGCGTGCGCTGCATCTGCGCAAGACAGAGACTTGGAGCACAAATCAAGAAGCAACACAAACAAGAACTGCAAGCGAAAGAGAATCCAAGCCTGCATGCCGTGTCATCGTGCCCGAGCTTGACCAGGCGCGGACTTGATCAACGCGGCTGCAGAAACAAACTTAGTCATCCAGCAGAAGCTTGCAGCAAGAAGCCTGTTTTCCCGCACCCAGTCCAAGCGCATCTTTCGCAAGACAGCGTCAGATAGATAGACCGCAATGTAGGTTTGACTGTGATCAGTCCAGGACCTACAGTCATGCAGTCATCCAGTTCAGTATACATAGAGTCACAGAATCATGCAGTCTATGATCAGTCTGATCAGTCAGCCTAGGGGCCTAGAGTCAGGTACATAAAGTCCTAGAGTGATGCATAGAGTCCTAGAGTGAGGCATACATTGAGTCATAGAAAGTCAAGTAGTCATAGAGCCATAGAGTTTCATCATCACTATGTTTATCACCCAACTCACTATGCATTTGACTCGATGTACTTGACTCTATGGACTCTACGTGTATCTTCACTCTATGTTTATCCTCACTTCATTCTGTGTTTTTTCACCCGCACTCGACTCTATTTACTATACCTTACATGCACTTGACTCTATGTTTATCGTGACTCTATGTTTATCATCTATTATCATCCATGTAATTCTCTCGATGGCTTCGTACGGACGTACTAGGTTGCGCGGGAATAGCAACTTTACCTCGCGTTCGCACGTTCGACCACGCCAATCCCCGCAAAGGGTTGCGCAGGAACCCTGCAACAACCCGAAAAGTAGCAAGTTTACCTCGCGTTGGAACGCTCGACTCTCGACCACACCAATCCCCGCAAAGGGTTGCGCGGGAACCCTGCGGGAACCCAAAAAGTAGCAACTTTACCTCGCGTTCGCACGGTGGACCACGCCAATCCCCGCAAAGGGTTGCGCGGGAACCCTGCGTGAACCCGAAAAGTTGGAAAAAAATGCAACTTTACTTCGCGTTGGCGCGCTCGACCACGCCAATCCATGGTAAGGGTTGCATTCCCGATCGAGGGCATCGGTGCTGGTTCCGGCTTTAGAAAGAAAGATAGATACCGAGATGTAGATAAAATCGTTGACTCGATGTAATTGACTCTGTCTACTTGACTCGATGCACTTCACTCACTCGATGTACTTCATTCTGATGTACTTCACTCTGTGTACTATGCTCTGTATGCTGACTCCGTGTACTTGATCCTATGTACTTCTCTAAATGTACTTCACTCTGATG